CCCTGTTTTAAACGAGCTTGTGCACTAAATTGTTAAGTTGACAAGAGTGATATTATCTATTGAAAAACTCAATCTTTGGGCAACAACGGCCCCTCAAACCTATTAAGCTATTATCGAGACGATGGAACTATGTATGCTCTATGTTATTGAAAAAAACCATTACATCCTTGTAGCAGGATTAAGAGTAAATCCTACATCCGTTTAAAATGGCACTAAGACATCAAATCGAAGAATGTGGAAGTCAATTCTTACAGAATAAATTCTCATTTTATTCAATTAACATAAATAAATATGTAGGTTATATGTTATGAATTGCATCTTCATTGTATTAGCTCATAGCTATGCAAAATTCATAAGTACACTTTCTCAAAGACAATGAATAATTTATTGGTGGGTTTTAATATTGCTCCTATGGTTTTCATTTTTTATTGTTGCACAATTGTTTAACTAAATTAAGTTCATGTTTGGTTTCGCCAAAAATCAAAATTTTAGTAAATTTTGATAAAAAAAAAAAATAGATGAAATATACCGTTAAAAAATTAATAGAAGTTGTGTAAGAATGCGACAAAAAAAAAATTATCCACAAACCAGACCAGATTTGCTAATTAGTGAAAGATTGAGGTTAAGAATGCGACCAAAGAAAAATAAAAATGAAGATAAGATCAAAACTACAACAATAAATAAAGATTAAGAACTTTAGTGCAATTTAAAACTGGTGAAACTAGAGTTTAACACTATGAATAATGTGACATTGCATTTAAATGAATTTGTCATTTAATATTATGCAGTTGCTATCTAAACGGGTACTTGACAATAGTGGTGTTGAATATCATTACTCTACTATTATATCAATATAAACGACTCATATTTTATTAATTCCATGAACAAAAATAAAAAATTATCACGACAGTATTCATAACAATAATAAGTACGGTTATAAATAACCTTGACCTTCGGAGTCTTTCTAGCTCAATTCATGTACGGTTCATATTATAAATAGTTTATAGAAAATCAAATCATTTTTTATGTACACAATTTGAGAGATTTATAAGTATTATTCACTTATTTAATATTCATTTTTATCTAATCATAATTTAAACATGTTTTAAAGCTAGTTAACTTCCATCTTGTCTAAAAATTACCTAATCGAACTTGATCTTTCTATGTAACTTTGGTTTTAATAGTCTTGATAATGACTTGATTCGTCACATCAAAGGTAAAACATCCTTTTCTTTTACGTAATAAACATTTTACTTGAGCATTTCTAATGAACAAGTGTAGACACATTAAACATGGAGTAATTAATATTAGGAAAATAAAGACAGCGGCATGTTTGGCTTAATTTTTTAAAAATCTTCAAAACTCATTTTATTATAGAATTTACAACTTTTATCAATTTTAAACTGCATATTTCATCAATTTTTTTATTTTTATTTTTTGTCAAAATCAACTAAAAATCTAATTTTCAGCCGATCTCACGGAACAAACTTAATCCGAAAAATAATTAATTAGTTCCCTAAGTTCCACCTAAGAAAAATAAAAGGAAAATGCTAAGCACTAAATTAATTAAGAGACTTAAGAAGCATATTAAATTGCAATGTGTACAAGCAAAGGTAATTTGCTTATTTGAAAATGGTGTATTTCTAATGTTGTATTACACTTAAAAGCAAATTAATTTTGATAGATAGTTCCCCTTAACCTTGAAGGAAAGAAACAAAAAAAATATTTTTAATTGGGTAGATTAACATAATAATTATGTCATTAATCGGTTAATCCTATTTGTAAGAAAGGTGTCAATTCTCCAACTAATAATAGTTCAAAGGAAAGCAAGGCAACAAACAATGGCTTCATTTGTGGGTTAATTAGTACAAAATAAAGGGACTTGAGAGCTAACAAATCAAATTCTCCACATATTATGGATGGAGCAAGATTAAGAGCACTGAAATTATTATTATTATAGACCCTAATTATAATTAGTGATGTGGTTTGCACGTAATGCCGATGTCATTAAAATGTATGATTTGTTTGGCAAGTTAAGAAATATAAATTAGTATAAGTTTTTTTTGGATTGGGGTCATGGAATATCGAATGTATTTTTCCAATATTGTTGTCCCTATCAAATATGTAAGTTGTTCTGACAATCTTCAGATGTCCAGTTCTTCTATTTCACAGGTGAGTCAATACGCATGAAACTTGACCAACATATATCCTTACGTATCTCACTAAGATACCATCTAATCGCAACTATACAAACCATAGTGAATCCCTACCGAAAGTATCGTCCAATAAAATATTTCACTAACTTCATCGTTAAAACGTCACGTATCAATACACCGTCAAAATGCACGTATAAAATAAATATATTCTACCAAGAAACAGTCAATATCATTAAACTCCATGCCAATAGCACAAGACCTTCAATTTCAATGGTGCAATAATCCCTTTATGTCACATAAGTAGAGGTGCCCACTAAAGACTTTAAATTAGAGTCTGGATTCAAAAGTTTCATAATAATCAACTCCTCAATAAATGGACTAATGACGAGACGACATCATAACATTGAATTTGTAGACATAAATATTTTATGAAGTTCTGAAATATTTCTCCTTTTTTTGTCTGAAAAGACAGAAAAGATGGAGGTTGGTGGGCAAGTGACAAGTGAGTTCAAATTTTTGTTGAGTTTACTGAATTATTTCGGAGAAATTAGTTAAGCTAATTGAAAATTAGGGCCTGTTTGAGCCAATTTTTTATTTTATTTTTTTCAAAAAATGCATTTTGTAATAGTGTTATAATGGAGAATGTGTAGTTGAAATGAGATTAAATCACTGTTAAAAGAATACATTTTTATGGAACTTTATGAAAAAGAGCAAAAACTGTTAGTTTTTTCTCTTCAAATTCAAAATTGTGATGTGTACGGTACTTTCGGGTAAAAAAAGCAAAAGAACTATGAAGATACAAGAATAAAGAAATGAGCTTTGCTTGGAGTACATAGCGGGTAACATAGGGGTTGAGTATTATGTCAACCATTATTTAGGAAAATTATGTACACTTATCATTTTCCTAAAGAAATAACTTGTGATGGCACTGTTAATAACAGAATTAATGTCGGCTATCTCGAATCTAACATCCCCTTGTTATGAACTTATAATTGTAATTATTTTAATAAGATTGTGACTAATTTTGAAATTGATTATTGATCTAATTAAAACTTGAATTGAATGTGTAGCAGTCAAATAGTTTGATGAAATAATGAGATTTAAATTACAGAAGTCAATCTGTACATTTCACGATTTCCCCTGGAATAGATCGCCTCTTATTTTTCAACTTTAAATAAAACGTAGTCCCTACAGAAATTACACTTCTCAAATAAAGTGCTTGTAAGCATCTTATAAGCTTAGCCAAACAAGTTATTACAGGCATCATTGCATCCCCTTGGCACATTGTACATGGAGAGAAAAAAGCAAATAATTCTTACACAGTGATGTTTTTGAAGTTCCTTGATTCAAAATGTAACGACCCGGCCTCTCACCGGAGCCGCTATCTTATGTATTGTTCGCTCTGGGGTGGGCTTCTGCCCACTTATCCCCTCACGACTTTCTGACGCGTCCCCCAAAATTCGAACCCAAGACCTCCATCATATGGGAGACTTAAGTTGAATCCTGGTACGTAAAATAGCAGACAGTACGTAAGATAACGGCTCCGATGAGAGACCGGGTCGTTACACAAACGTATAATTAATTTTCGAACAATCATGCTACATGTACATTGGTCTTGTACTTACAGGAGAACCAAGTGCAGGCCCATGTGACCCTCACGGTACAACCATTATAATCCTTTTTCGAAACATCTAATAGTGCAATAATATTTAGCTTATTGAAAATGACCAACGGTTATCACCACCCTCCTTTTATTAGTACAATTGAACTCGAAAAGGCACGTATTGGATACCCCCAAGTCATAGACAATCTGAGGACGAAATTTTCGCAGGGACTATCAGTTATGAACAAAATAATTATTGACATGTAGATCACATCTAGACACTTTGTTTGATTTGTTCTACGAGACAGTAAATAAAAGACATCTAGGCGACTGATCCACACTAACGAGCTTTCTTTCTGTATACGTCCCGATTGATGTCCTAGCAATTTTTGAGGTCAAATTAGCATTGTCTGTGGTAATCTTTATTGAATACACAGTTCAAAATCACAATAGTGCAAATTGAACTTGGCCGTTTTCTTTTACAACCCTCGTTTTCTGACCAACACGGTTGAAACGAAAATGAATGGAGTAGAAGAACCCCCTCTCATCACAAGTTTAGACTTTCCCAAGATCACCCATCACCGGAGGCAAAAGAAGCACCATTACAACAACGATCTCATACAACTTGAGGAGAACGCACAGGTGAGGGACACTGCCTAAAGTGACAATGTAGCTGAAAATCTAACAAATTATTATCCTAAATTGTATCAATCTCTACTTCAAGTAAATAAACTAATGGCTAAAAATCATTATTTGCCTCTATTAGTGCTGTGTGTATCGATTTTCTAAGTTTAAATAATATTCAATTGCGAAGGATTAATATGATGGGGTTCCTTGTACAAAGATACGAACCACTTAGCCAGCTCAAAAATCACACTGTGAGGCCGCTCCGACCCATTCATTAATTTGGAAAATGGTCTCCTTTGGGTTCATGAACACTTGTTCACAATATGTAGAGCACATCGACATTACCATAAAATCTAAAATCCCGAACTTCCAGCATTCACTCATAATTGGACAAAAAGAGAGGATATCATAAGCACCAAACGAGTTACAGTAAAGTTGAAAATTATGTTCTAATTGAAAACTCACTGACAGAAGGAAATGGCTGCACCGTCATCTGTATTACAATGTTGGAATAAACAGAATCTCAGAATGATGACACGATAGTCATAGTTTGCAAGTGTGGAAACTCTCTTTCACAAAGAAAATGACAAAAACAAGGCATCCAAGTTCGGCAATCACTGGGGTCCAGCAAATTTACTCATCATTTTCGCAATAATTGGAGCCACTTTAGGATTTGCTTGATGCTTAGCCAAGTTAGCCGGGTTCTTCATTACTGCAGAACAGTTGAGCAAGATCAGATATTGGAAAACTGTAATGACTATTCTTCTCTAGTGCATTAAGATATTGGTTCAAGTACAAAACAGCATTCTTCCATAAACCCTAAATTTACTGAGTATAAAAGAAATTAATAATTTACATCCCTACTGCACAAAGGAAGCAATTTTTTATGAACAGAACCAGAACCTTTAACCCATAGACAAATCAGACGTTACATTAGCGCGCGCATCTCTCTTTGTTCTACTTTGCTTACCTCCCTAATCATGCAGCGACAATTGGGCCAGGCCCACATAGTTCTAAATTATGTTTAAATCAGCAGTCATTAAGCATAGGGTAGTGAATCACTTGATCTTTATATCCTGCGAGGCTAAGATTATCCAGATCCTTTAATCATCAAATTCTACTCAGAATGTAAATTATGCTGGTCCACTTAACTTACCACCGCAAGATGAAGAAATGAGATATTAAGGTTGAGGACCCCTTGTAACCTATTCAAGTTTGGGGCTTGGAATGATATGATAACCAAGGACCCTAAATTGCATGGTGAAAGCTTTTAATTGTAGAAGAACTTTCCACAAGAAAACTTTATCACATACAAATGCTGCCATTTTTATGATTGTTCCCTTTCAACAGTACTTTAGGCTAAATTGGCAGACTAATTAAGAATTTTATGGCAACAATATCAAGGGAGTGAAACTTGAAGAGTGAATTCATTTATTTATTTATTTATTTTGTCGATGTGTGTTGACTCCTCTTCTTCAGTCACCCCTCTTCCCCACACATACAAGTGCAACATGCAGCACCTTTGGCACAACTAGTGTCCACAACTCAACCTTCAACTCTAGTGAAGGTACAATCTAGATGTATAACCAGCACACATAAAGAATACCTCTTACAGGGCAAACTGATATTTTATCTGGTGTCAAGGAATAAAAATACATAAAGACAGACGAGTGTGGGGATCAAAGATGCAAAGAAACAATTGGCTGGGGCTCATGAATAGTATTCTGAATGCTAAATTCACATTTACTTTATCATCTATTAACAGAATTACAGGAAAAATTTTCTGGTCAATACTAAGTAAATATTGGCCGGTAGCCATCTTAGTGACTAGATATTAGAAAAGGAGGAGAACAAGCAAAATAATGTTAGAAGGGACGAAAAAGAAGGAATCAAGCACCATTAAGAAGACATCACGTAACCATTTTAAATTCGCAACTCATTTTCCAAGGGAGTTCAAAGTGTGTATAATTATTTTACACTGCTGGTATCCACAATCCTATTAGTACACACTACGCACACTGTCATTAATTTAAGTCAACCAAGTATTTTTACTAAACTGTTCTAGAGTTAAAGAGTTTAAACTGCTGTCGAAAAAATAATTCACAGTGCAATCAAAATTTAATCCCCAGTTTATCTCCCTTTAAAACGAATTCTTTAATTCTCTCTCATTTTGTACCACACATTTACATAATAAAATACTTTGCACGTAAACCCAAAACTTTTCCCTACTTTCTAACAACACATCCTCCAAAAAAATCACTATTCAAAACTCCATTTTTCCAAAATAATGGACATCAAACAGGGGCTAAGAGACATGTACCATTAACAATAACCCGTTTTTGGCCGTCACTGAAAGTTTGCACAATTGTTCTCCGAAGATCATAAAATCTAAACGCTAAAATTTTGCAACTTATGAAAATAAACATCACACACATCATCACTCTACACACTAAAGCAGTAAAGCGTGCTCAAAATCCGACTCTGTAATTGTCCATTTTCTTTCTCTCCAACAATATTAGCAAGTGAAGAACTAGAGTGGGGCAGTGAAATATTTTTACAAAACTTATCCATTCCGCAACAGAAAGGAAGCCTTTCCATTCACAAGTACCAAAAAGTCGGCAATTACAAATCATTTCATAAAAACTTAAATGGCGTATCTTTCTTGAAAGAACAGCCAGTGATTGTAAATAAAAAAATGGCTAAAACAGCTAATTGAGGAAGAGATGCATCAACACATTGAAAACTAAATATATGCATATGTAGAAGCAGTTAAATTTGGAATCACATACCATCTTGAAAGGCTTCCATAACTTCGGGATCACTGAATGCCGCCATCAATTCAGGATCCTGCCTCAGTCAACAAACCAATAGTTATAAAACAAACAAATAATCAACAGCCATGACCATTACACTGAATATGAAAAAGAAATAACTTCATCGTATTATCAGCACTAAACAATATCTAGACTATATGCTTGGTTTGAAAAAACTCATAGGAAAAATACTTACGTTAAGTATTTTGCTGTAATCAACATTCCCAGGCATACCGCCAGGTGAGCTCCCAGGGAAACCTCCAGGCATACCTCCAGGCATACCTCCTGGCATTCCACCAGGCATGCCACCAGGGAAACCTCCAGGCATGCCTCCAGGCATTCCACCAGGAAAGCCTCCACCAGGAAAACCTCCAGGCATTCCACCTGGCATACCTCCAGGTCTTCTGCTGGATGATGACTGCTCTTTCTTCTTAGCCTTTTCATATGCAGCCTATAATAGAATGCAAAACAGGAAATCAGATTCCATTTACAGACAACACACAAATGCAAGGGCAAGGGCAAACAAGCTTTACCTGAGCTTCAGCTCGACGACGCTGACGCTCACGCTCAATCTTACGGTCTTCTCGCTCTTTGCGCAGCCTGTCATATTTTCTGCGGTGTTCCTCAATTTTGTGTGCATTGGGCTCAACCTATTGCCAATAATATTTCCAATAAAATCTGACCTTAAATAAACCACTAAAAAGGGGGAAGGAGGGTGGGGGGGGGGTGGGGGGGAGGGTTCCTTCTCTGAAAAGTGCTACTGGACCAAAGAGTAGTCTGGTCTGAAGTACCATTTTCTCCATTCTGTTTCTGTTGTCACACAGCCGCGCGCTTACTATGACAAAAACTGCAGGAAAAATATGCTATACAAATATGATGCTAAAAGCCTTACCTTCTTAAGTACAGCACTAATTTCCTCATCGTAGTCCAGCTTCGAAGCCAAGTGAAGATCCTTTGCAGCCTCTTCCCACTGGCCAAGCATTGCTCGAGCCATGCCTCGGGATTTGTACCCTTTCGCAGAATCTGGATTGATCTGTGATAAATCATTATATCTGTGAGTCCTGGTAACAGCAAACATCATGCATTGCAAGTTTCTATTTTACATCAAGACCAAACTAAAACCAAAAAACTTAAGGCTCCAGAAATTTGTCTTGACGATGCAGGTGCGAGGATCAAAAACCCTGCTGAATAACACTGCATAAAGCGGATGCTCTTGGATGGCCCCAAAAAAGTTGTTGTAAGAAATGCTGCTTAGTAAAGAGTATGAGCTATCTAACCAGAAAATAACTGGTGGCTACATTTTATTTTAATTTTTTGAGAAGTATATGTAGATGAGAGTCCCAATATAGAAAATCGTGCAAGAAATTGTTGCTAATATTGGCTGACACAAAGCAATTAAGTTCATAAGAAAGCAAATTTAGAAACATGTGACAACCTCAAGAGCAGCATTGGCATCCCGAACAGCAGCATTTGGTTTCTTCATTTTGATGTACACGGTAGCTACAGCACATAAACCATCAAATTCACACATTAGAGGAGCAATTATGAAATGCCCAAGTTTTTTAAAAGAAAAATATATGAACAATGTATAATATTTAAAAACCAAAAAATTTACCTCGGGTTCCATACATAATAGCTGAGGTAGGATTAAGCAGAATTGCTTTGTTAAGATGCTCAATTGCTTCTTCAAGCTTACCTGATCAATGCAAAACACATTACACCAATATACACACTCAGCTAACAATTTCTTTTATGAATATGTATACTAACTAGTATGCACGTTACCTTCAGAAATTGCTTCCATAGCCTGAATTTTAGCCTCTTGAGAAGCATCTCGGTTTTCTTCAGTAACTTCAATGCTAGGGTCTCCCTTCTATAAGTTGCAATGTCAAAACTTATTTACTACCAGAAACATCACAACCTTAATCAAATTCAAAACAAAACAGAAAATGTTGCTCGATCAGACCTTCTGTGGGGGTTCATTATCAGGCTCCACAACGTCAGTCTCATCCAGTTCAATGTCAGACTCAATTATCTCAGGCTCTTCTTCTTCATCGTATTTAGGGTGAACCTCCTCCTCTATATCATCCAGATCCTCATCGCTCTCATCCATAGCACGAGACTTCTGTATTCCATTGCATAACACACTATTCAAAACTCAAATTCCATATAGAAAGAAGATGCAAAATATTTGCATTTATAACATAAATTTCAAGCCCTAAACTATAGTGGAAAAATCTATTTAATCCGTTACCACCTTCAGAAAACAACAACATTGAAACGACCACAGCTTTAAAACTCAATATCATGATTAATAGAGAAAAATAGTTTCACGTTCTCTTTTCAGAGCTTTTGGCCCTGCGCATTACGAAGTTAATGAAACTGATTCTTTCTTATTCTTAGATCGAACACATGGGAACAACTATTGAAGACTAAAACCAAATTCTGTAAAGAAATAAAATTACCGCTTTGTAACTCCCGGCCTCGCTCGCAGAAGTAGGAATCTTCCCTCCAAGACTGAAAAATAAAAAATAAAAAATTCATAAGAAAACCTGAAAAGAAAACCCCACAAATTCAACCCTACATACATCATTGCAACTCATTAAAAAAAATTAAAATAAAACAAGGATTTTCTTATCTGAACAAAAAAATATATACAAATATATATATACCTTTCGATGTATTCACGGAAGAAGGAGAGGGAGGGATCGGAGAGGACAGAAGGATCGGCCTTGCACTGGTCGACGAATTGTTTCAGTTGGGTAACCCTCGATGCATCCATTGCACCACTTAGGTTTTTCTACTGATTTTGAATTTGAGAAGGGTTTACAGAGAAAATTCGATGGCGAAAATTATTGACAAAATAGAGTAGCGTACTGTTGACCTATAGTCTCGCCCTTTCTACTTTCTAGTAGCTTCTATTCGGATAGTCATTTTATTCCCTATCTTATCTTTAGCTGTAAAGATTAAAATCATTTTTTAATAAAATTTGATGAAATGTGTAGTTAAAATTAATTGTTGATTTACACATAATATTTTAATTGAATTTTAATCCAAATCAAACAAGGGCTTAATAACTTTCCCACTTTTTACCTATTTGTTTGGAAAAATTATAAATTTTTTAAATCATAAATTGATAGAATTGTAGCAGTATGGATCCTACGAAATTATAAATTGATAGAGTTGGGGTGCATTAGTGGCTTTGTTGTGATTATAAGAAAAAACAGTTCTAGTTCTTAGTTGGTTAAATTTTAGAGGAAATTTCAAAAAATGTCTACTTTTTGTGCCTATTTGCAAAAATGTCCATTTTGAAAGAATTTAGATCAAAATATCCTTATTAACAATTTATAATTTCACGTAAACACAAAAATATACACTTTATTAAAAAAATTATTGATCAATAAAAATTTGACACATAACCCTGACCTATTTATTTCAAAAGTACAGTGTCAAATCGCAATAAATACAAATTTTCTCATTGACGCAGAAATGTCAAGAACGACATTTCAAATGTAGAGAAATGTCTTGTTCAGAATGAAATGTCATTCTAGACATTTAATATGACGAGAACAATATTTGAAATATCGAGAATATTTAATATTGTAATTTGACATATGTACTTTTGAAATATAAATAGGGTTCAAATGTCAAGAACGACAATTGAAATGTTGAGAATATTATTTGAATGTGGCTTCTCATGAAAGCTACTTCTTGAAATTTGTGAAAAATTGGGGAAAAAAAAAAACAAATTGCCTCATTTTTTCATTAAGGGCATAATGGACAATTTGGTACAAAATTCAAAATGATGGACATTTTTCAATT